TTTAAGCAGGGGAAAAAGTGTCTCAGTAGGTGCATATCATCAGAGTACTTTGAAGACTAAAGTTTAAACATGTAAGAATAAATACACATTTTTTAAAGTGAATGAATTCTGGGTTTTGGGGGGGTTCCCCTCATACACACAGCAGCTAGCAAGTGCTGTGGAGATTGCTGGCATGTATTTGCCAAGTAAATGGATGAAGTCCTCATGACTTAAGTTATGGATATACTGCTTATATCCTGAAAATATATTTCTCAAACTCCCTTGTGATTTCATAAACTCAAAAGCCAAGTAGATCCTTTGTTCATGAGTACTCCACCAACGAAAATGTTTAAAATGCCTATTAGAAAATGGAAACGGCTAGGAATGGTGGCTGACATCTATGATCCCACACTTTGGGAGGCGGATGTGAGAGGATTGCCTGAGCCCAGGAGTTCGAGACCAACCTGGGCAACTTGGTGAGACCTCATCGCTACAAGAAATCAAAAAAGTAGCCAGGCATGGTGGCGCACACCTGTGATTCCAGCTACTTGGAAAGCTGAGGCAGGTTGAGTCTGTGGTAGCTGTGAGCATGCCACTGCGCTCCAGCCTGGGCAAAACAGTGAGATTCCAACTCAAAAAAAAAAAAAAAAAGGAGAAAAGAAAATGGAAATGAGCCGGGTTCGGTGACTCAGCCTGTAGTCCCGTGCCTTTGGGAGGCTGAGGTGAGTGGATTGCCTGAGCCCGCGGGTTCAAGACCCGCCTGGGCAGCGAGACCTCATCTCTACAATAAATCAAAAAATCAGCCGGGCGTGGTAGCACGTGCCTGTAATTCCGGCTACTGGGAAGGCTGAGACAGAAGGATTGCCGGAGCCCAGCAGGTCGAGGCTGTGGTGGCCGGGAGCGGCCACTGCTCTCCAGTCTGGGTGACAGAGTGAGACTCCAACTCAAAAAAAAAAAAAAATTTAGCCAGAGCTGGGCACAATGGCTCACGCCTGTAATCCCAGCACTTTGGGAGACGGAGGTGAGAGGAGTGCCTGAGCTCAGGGGTTCAAGACCAGTCTGATCAACTTGGCAAGACCTCATCTCTATAGTAAATCAAAAAATTAGCCAGGCATGGTGACACATGCCTGTACTTGGAAGGCTGAGGTGGAAGGATCACCTGAGCCCAGGAGGTCAAGACTGCACTGCACTCCAGCCTGGACAACAGTGAGACCCCAACTCAAAAAAACAAAAGAAGAAAATGGACACATCTCATTTGCTAAGCACTTGGGGCACAATCCTGTCACTATTCCTAGAGACTTAAAATTTGAGGCGTGTGCTCCAGGTTCTTCTAACCATTAGGCAGCAACCAACTCCATCTAAAATGACTTGAAGATTTGGAGAGCAAATTGGCGCCTCCAAGTTCTCACCTGCACCCACCCATACCTTAGTCCTCTCTTTGCTATACCTGCAGATCTATCCAACCAACCACCCCTATCCCTACAGGCCTCCCATCTGTTGAGTTCCTTCTTTTGCTTCCTCAAGAGTCGTCTCCAAAATGCCCTCTCCTCAAACCCCCTACCAATCACCAGCCCTCCAGTGTCAGCAATTACAAGCAAGTCTCCACCCTCATGATTATTCAGTGCTGCTCACAGCAACAGCTGTCACCCGTCCAAGCCCTGAACTTGGGCATTTGCCTCATGTGCATGACCTCCGTCTATCTCTATAAGAAATGCCACTTGGCTGGGAGCGGTGGCTCACACCTGTAATCCCAGTACTTTGGGAGGCTGAGGTGAGAGGATTACCTGAGTCCGTGGGTTCGAGACCAGCCTGGCAACTTGGCGAGATCTCATCTCTACAATAAATAAAAAAAATTTAGCTGGGCATAGTAGCACATACCTGTAGTTCCAGCTACTTGGAAGGCTGAGGCAGAAGTATTGCCTGAGCCCAGCAGGTTGAGTCTGTGGTGGCCATGAGCATGCCACTGCCCTCCAGGCTGGGTGACAGAGTGACTCCAATTCAAAAAAAAAAAGAAAACAGAAACACCACTTATTGAGGCAGTTCTATGACCATCATCATTCTACAGATTAGGAAACAGGCACAGAAAGGCCAGATGACTTGCCTGGGTCACACAGCCCGTGAATGGCCTGTCCATGACAAACTGCAGAGCCAACTGCTAAGCCTTGTGCTGACACCCCTGCTCTCCCCTCGTGGTGCAGTGAGGGCAGAGCAGGGTCACCACCAGGCTGCCCCCGCCCAGGTCAACTCACACCAACATCAAGAGGGAACTGCTCTCTTCCAACCACGGTTCCCCAGCAAGTAAGTGGCAGGACAAGACCTATTAGCTACGTCACCTGGCCTGTTTTCTTGGAAAAAGTAGTTGATTTTATGCACCAAGAAGGCCTACTTGTCCCTGTTTGGCATCACCTAGGTTTCAGCAAAGCACGTCGTAGAGGTGCCCCGACCACTTCTGTTGCTGTGTCTGCAGACCCAATTGCCCTACCCCCAATAACCACTGTCCCTTCCATGACTATGCCCTGACTTGGGAACACAGCAGTGTCTAAACCCAGGCTTCTCAAACCTGTACGTATCTACGAATCACTGGAACCTTCTCATTCCACAGAGTTGGACTGGAGCATAAGAGTGTGTTTCCACAAGTCTCCCCATGACCAGTGCTGGTCCAGACCACACACCAGTGACAATGACTTGGACAGGTGTCATGGGAACAGCTCTTCCCCAACAGTCAGTGCCAAGTGCTTTTCTTCCCAAATGCTTCTGTGATCAAAGCTACACAGAGCATCTGCTTACTGATGACACACTATTGCAGACACCAGCGCATGCTAAGCTTTACCAAGGTGTGTTTTGTGTTTGAACTGTCTGCACAAATCTGATTTTCTTCACTTATGTAGACTTGTTTCTCAGGGACTAAGAAAACTATCTGGATACCCTAACATGCCATAGATGAGCTCTTCACGCCTCCATCCCACCATGTCTCCTCCCTTACAGACACAGGGAAAGATGCTGCTCTTCCCGTTCAAGAAAATCCCTTGCCTGGGCCTGACCTCCACCCTCCGTCCCCGTAGAAACTCACTCGATCTCCACTGTGTGACTATTCTATCCACCCCCAGGTTTCGCTCTAGTAATGCCAACTAAAAACTGGCCCATGAACACAAAAAGAGCAAAATACAGCAGAATTTTAATTGCTGAATTTAGATGAAAGATATACAAGTGCTTGCTCTACTAATTCTTTCAACTTTCCTCAATATTTGCAATTTTTTTAAGTTTGGAGGCAGTCAGGTATAGAAACAACTAGTAACATATCCTACTTGCAATTTATTTTCCAAAACAAAGATATTCTAGGATAACACTTCGGAGTCAATCCCCCAAACTTCTCAGCTAACTTATTAAAAATTTCCTTCCAAAGTAATTTAATATTCATTGGGCTATTAAAAACCGTATTTGTCCAACATAATACCCAAGCATGTCCTTTTATAAATATCTTTTTAGAGACAGGCTCGGTGGCTCACCCTGTAATCCCGCACTTTGGGAGGCCGAGGTGAGTGAATTGCCTGAGCCCGCAGGTTCGAGAACCGCCTACGCAACTTGGCAAGACCTCATCTCTACAATAAATCAAAAATTAGCCGGCCGTGGTAGCGTGCACCTGTAGTTCCAGCTACTTGGAAGGCTGAGGCGGAAGGATCGCCGGAGCCCAGCAGGTCGAGGCTGCGGTGGCCAGGAGTGGTCATTGCACTCCAGTCTGAGCAACAGAGTGAGACTCCAACTCAAAATAAATAAATAAATAAATCTTTTTAGAATCCACAAAATAAAGAAAACCCCTTAAAATGTCATTTTTCTAGCAGGAACGCTAAAGACATCACTAAATAACACTCTCTGTTCTCGTGTCCTCCCTCCTGTCTACAAATCTTGACTGCTCTGCAAATCTTATTCTCTACCAAGTTGCCTTAAATTCTGTGCCTTCTTATCCACTTTTTTTTTTTTGAACCAGGGTCTCATCGTCACCCAGGCTGGAGTGCAGTGGCACAATCATAGCTCACCACAGTCTCGACCTTCTGGACTCAGGCCATCCTGCCCTACCTCAGGCTCATGAATAGCTGGGACTACGGGCACGTGCCACCACGCCCAGCTAATTTTTAAATTTTTTTTGTAGAGACAAAGTCTCACCATGTTGCCTAGGCTGGTCTCAAACACCTGGGCTCAAGCAATTCTCCCACCTCAGCCTTCCAAAGTGCTTCCACAGCACACATCCCTATCCTCATTTCTTAAACAGGGAGAAAGGTCTCCGTGCCTACCTGCCTTTCTCCAGCCATACCACATAACCCAGCTCAAAGGAGAGAATGTGAGACTGGTCAGGATTTGAGTGGCGCACGAGGTCACCCGCAGTGCTATACCCCTGGCTCCAACTGTGCATGCCAAAGATGCTCTGGGGACCAGTAAGCAGCCAATATCCCACACACTTTCACAGCCTGTTTTCCCTAGGAACTTACGGGGAGCTTTTGCTAAATAGTATTCCTAGTTACTTCCTAGGCACCTGCTGCCCCAAACTCAGTGCTTTGATTTTATTATTAGTATGAGTCCTACTTAAACAATGATCTGAAGCTAGCACAGTGTCCTCAACCCAGGGAGATTTTGCCCTCTAGAGGCATGAGGGTAGAGGTCTGCGATTCAGCTCAACATCCTACAATGTACAAGCCAGCCCCCAACAATGACTTGTCTGGCCCCAAATGTCAGTAACTGCTGAGGTTGAGAAGCCCTGGGGCAGCTGTGGTTTTGCTTCTTTTAACGTTACAAGATTTAAGAGTCACTGGAAAGCAAAGTGCCAAACAACTAACACTACATAGCTGCAACTGTCTGTTTTGGTTTCTTACCTAATAAAGAAAAAGGTCTCTGGTTTTTCATCAGTAAGTTTCCTATTTGGAAACAACGCAAAGAGCTCCATGTTATCAAAATGGCACAACCACAACAGTGCTGTATGTGTGACAACAATATGGAGTCACTAGGATTAAAAAGTGGTCTACTAAGACTTGAGAGATCATCAGTTTATTCATCTGGTGGTATTCGATGCTCACAGGGCACCGTACAACAAATTTTAAAAATACAGTATGAAAAAAAACCAAACAGCCAAGAGATCAATTCCATTAGAGGGCAACAGCCCACAGAAAAACCCAAAAGCCCACAGAAATCCCACCCTCTGTCCCCTTAAGAACATTTCTTCTGCTTAAGTTTGGTTTATAGAAACACCAAAATGTGAAAGGTCTTTCAGAAGATAGTTACAACTTAACATAGCGTCTTTCACTTAAGTGTATCACAAAATGCTTTCCTTAGTCAATAAACACAAGACAATCCAAGCATCTGTGAGCCTCCATTTGGTCCCAATTTTTCAGTTATAGCCTTCAGTACTTCCCCCCTCTGTCCTCAAAACTGCCTGTCTCAGTAAAGAGCCCCTGAAGGAGTGGTAGTCTCCTCTGCTCCATCCTGCCACTGCAAAGTATATATTCCATGTGTAGCCTGGATCAAGCACACTGAAGCCGTGGAAGTACCTGAGCAGAAAATGTAACTAAATCTTCCCAAGAACTGTTTAACATAAAATCTGATTGTAGCCAACTCTCATTGGTGATTACTGACGGCCATTTGACAACACCTACAAAGAACAGCAAGACTGAAAGGTGCATGGTAGGTACTGCCAAAAAACTTCTAGAATGCAAAGACAGGTTGGAATTGGCGTTTACTTCTACTATACAAGGACTACATGTTTTCAGAAACTTATGTCACAAAAGGAACAGAACTATATTCTGCTTGGAACCTCAGTTCATGCTCAGTATCCATCTGTTATAAGTCAATTGCAAGTTGTTTCTAAGTTTCCAAGCAGGGACCCTCAGTTGTGACCAGCATGGCACACAAACTTAACCGCACACGTGCTTTGACTCACAGTAGCAGTCATCAGCTCTGCTGCTGTCTGCAGTACTGTTGTTCCTCTAGAATTCACAGAAACACTGACACAGGGAGACACAACAAAAAAGTAAAAACAGTACAGGAAGTCAGAGGGGCAAAAGTAAGACATTGGGGCCATAAAACAAAATTAGGAAAAGCAGAAAATAATTTGAAACATCTGCCAAAAAATAACATTGTGCTGCCTTAATGCTTGGTTCCTACAGAATTAAATGCATCTCATTCCGTTTATGCTGGGCACTTGGTCTAACTTAGTTTATTATCTGTTCCACAGTACATAAGGCATCTGCATGATGCATACCCCCTTCTCATTAGACTGTAATTCAGGATAAGGGCAGGTCACATGCACCTTTGTGTCCCCTGCATCTAAGCCCAATGGCCACATACAGTGGGTTACAGTGGGTGCTCAAGAGGCACTTTACTGAATACACTATTGGGCAGTGGCTTATGACATGGGAGAAGCCCAAGATGGCCTTGTTCTATCAGCATTGCTCAGCAGCCTCACTCCCAACAGGCAGAAACCAGCTTGGAAGCAACCCTCCTACTCTCTAACCCAGCAGAGCTGGCAGGAGCTGGCCATGACTTCAACTGCTTCCTCGAAACATGTCTGTAAAGCATTTTGAGAAATCAAGAGATGAAAGGCGCTATGTAAGCACAAGATAATATGACCCAAGACAGTTCAGCAAAAAAGGTGATAGAATGGTTGTGCTAGTGAGGGGAAGATTCCCCCCGCCCAAGGTTACTCATCTCACTGTCATTGTTAACAGAACAATGGAATTTTGACAAAGATGGCATCACTTCATAGTTTGTATTCTGCAAACTACTTTCTATAAACCAGGTGACAGAAAATTAAATTAAGCCACTTTTTCTACACAAACCAATACTTTATCAAAGTCTCGCATTTTACAAGTCATGTTCAAAAAACACGCACAAATTAGCATTTTGTACACAAATGTTTATTTCTCAATTAAACATTCCCTTTAAACACAAGGAATGAATTCTAAATCTTCATAAAGATGAATTAAAAATGAAATCCCTCCAGTATTGTGTGTGTTCACTGTGTTCTTGGTCACTACTGGCGTTTACTGTTTAACATCAAAAACAAAGACAGGTTATTTAAAAATCATGCTACTGGATTTCTAGCTCTTCCTCTATGACCAGTCCTATGCTGATCTGCAATGCTTAAAAGTTTACATCACCAAATCAAAGCAAGTTTAAGGTGTGAAGCTGTGCATTAAACACAAAACAAACAATAAAATTATAAGATATAGTCAAGTTCATAACGAATATAGGTGTTCTTATCATCGTTGTAGATCCTTGGGTAATGGGCTATGAGAGCGTCCTGGGAACCAATGTAGATGGAATTGTAAATTTTCCAATATACATCTCTGACTTTCCGGGCTGGGTGAAAAAGACCCTAGAATAGAATAAGGGAAAGGTTACACTGTTTCAATATGCAAAATCACATATAACCTTAACACAACTAACAAACCAGCCATAAAGGTATGATCGGCAACATTTCCCTGGGAGAGTGAGGAGAAGCCTAGCAATTACCCCAGATTGCAACAGACAAAAGCTAACACCTTCACCATACAGCCCTACCCTGCCCCC